GAGGTCGCAGCGAGCCGTCCAGACGTCTCACGGTGGCGTCGCGCATATCACTCGTGGCGTCGGTCGCCTTGGAGGCGGCAGAGACGTCCAGAGGCGGCGCATTTTTATGGGCACGCCCGGCAGCGCTGCGGGAGCGCGCCGCAGGCTGAAGACCTCCCTTGGCGCGGCGCGAGCGGCGCGCACCGCGGCACGAGGGCGCGCGGCGCTGCCGCCGCGACATCGTCACGGCTTGCGCCCGGGCCGGCCGCGCGGTTGGCGTGGCAGCGACCACAGCACATGGTTCGGAGCTTCGGGCGGGGCTTTCTCGGCATCTTCGGTTGCCGCTGCACGGCGCGCGTGTCCGACCCAGTGTCCTACCGGTGAAGCGTGTGGTGTCCAGCCGCGCGGTGTTGCAGACTACGTCGCGTGGTGTGCTTGTGCGTCGGTAGTCATCGCAACTCGCACTGTGTCCGCACTGCCGGTGCCGGCTGGGTCTGTCGCAGCGCACGCACATGAAGCTCTTAACCAGTTATAGCAGTACCCTACGACACAACCGCCAGAGGACAGCGTCCACGTCCATCGGGGTGGAGGTGCTGCCGCCAGGGGCCCGATGGCGAAGCCGTCAACGATCCACTCTATGAAGCGTGGAACTGCCGCCAGCGCTGCGGCCTGCGTGCCAAAGTCTCGCGGCTCGAAGGGGGCCGCGCCGTAGGGAGGGAGGGTCGTGGAGCGGGCGACCCACCTCTGGAGCGTAGGTTGTTGAGCGACATCTTGACGTGCGTCTTCGACTTGTGGTAGAGGCACTCGATGTACCACCGGCCTGAGTTGCTGTTCTGCTTCACCGTCGGCGAGCAGCCGAGGTGCGCCACGCGCGGTCGTCGCCAGAGGCAGAAGAGGGCGCGTTGGTCATTGTCGCTATCTGCGCCGCACGCAATGGGGTGAAGTCACTTGGGATTTGCACGACGCGGCTGTCGCGACGTGCAGAAGTGCGTGGCATGCGGTGTACGAGAGGGTAGGGGGCTGAATGGCTCGGCTCGCGTCGCTCTTCCAGCCGCAGCCCTGGATTCTGGCCCGACGCCGAAGCGGCGCGCGCGGCGGCCGGCGCGGCTTGGGAAGGAGCGCGCGCGCCGACCCATTCAGCCCCTAGGGGACCAGACTATGGCCACCACTAGCCTCGCCAACCGCTCCGCTAGCGTGTCGAGCGAACCTGAAGTGACTTCGGACGGCCACGTGGGCGCCTCGCTGTGCTGGCGTTACGCCCGGATCAGCCTCGTAGCCTTTGGCGGTGTAGCCTTTGGCGGTTCTCACCAGCGTTCTCACAGCCACACCTATGCCATCACGTGGCCAGAGGCTGCGGGACAGCAAGCGCGAGGCTGCCTGCAGGGAGTTCGAGCTCAAGATCCCGACCGCCAGCGCTCGCGAGCGCCGAACTGCGAGGCGGGCGGCAGAGGCTGAGGCGCAGCGAGACGAGGAGCCTGCCGGCTTTGCTCCCTCGTGCCAGTTCGAGGGCGCCCGGCACGGCTTTGTCTTCAAGCGCGGGCCGGCTGGGCTGGGCTACTACCCGGACACCGCTGCGCCGGCGCCGGCGCCGCCCGCCGGAGGCGCGGCGGCGGGAGAGGACCGGCCGGACGCAAACTGCCACTACGCGGTGCTCGGCGTCGAGCGGGACGCGACCGAGGCGCAGATCCGAGCCGCCACCGCC